TGGGTATGTTGGAATATATATATATATATATATATATATATATATATATATAGAATAACCTAGAACAAGTAATAATAAATGGGTAATAAATACTGCAATTGGTTTTATTTGATAGTGCCGTAGTGGCGTGATGGACTGATGAATGGATGGAATCCGTTTCAAATTTGAGGGTCCGCGAAGTCAACCAGATTCATGGCGCATTTTGGTGAAAATACTGTGTTTGTTTAGGAGTTAGACGAGCGTGTAAGCAAACATATTTTTCGCTGTCAACGACCCCAAAACTTGCATTTTCGTTAACATCTCGACATCAAGTTTTTGTAGTATTACATAGCTTTCTCAACAGTACGTAGATACGAGAAAGTAAAACGGATAAATATGATGTACCGGCCACGAGTGAATATTTATCAAGTATTAAAATTATATTTTCTACCTTTTTTCATAATAGTGTATAGTAGTTGGGATTCTGGAATTCAAGAAGACATGCACAATTGTTCTCCCACCCCGCATACATCATATTTGACTCGCCGTCCACCATTGAAATTATGTGATTATTATTATTATTATTATTATTATTATTATTATTATTATTATTATTATTATTATTATTAATAATAATAATATTAATATTAATATTATCATCATCAGCAGCATCTTCATCATCAAGGGAGATGAACAGTCCTTTCGTAGCACAGTAGAAGAATTCTTGGTCATCTCAATATTTGCTCTATAGATCGAGAAAAACTGGACAATAAACAGATAGATATATGATTATTTACCAGAAAACTGTTTAAAATAAGTTTTACTGATTGACAAACTATTCAGACATGAATAGTATTCGTCCCTTTAATTACTTTTGTTTTTTTGTTTCTTTTTTAGAACAATCAAACAATATGAGATAACTAATTCATTGGTTCCTTTGCAAACAAACTGCAACCTCGACAGAAGAGATAAGATAGAGGTTCCAATCACAGTCCTCTGAAAAAAAGATTCTGCATGTACCACATGCCGAAATGCGCACTCATATTATAATTACACTTGTACCTTTACACATACGGAAACATGTTTTGACTTTCCAACTCAAACATGTGAAAGTGGAACAACAACAATGAATAGAAAAATATATTCCGGGTCTTATTCAGGAGCGGATCTACAGCGAGGGAGATTATTTAATTAGATGTTTCCGGGCGCGTCAACTACTAAGGTCACTTGTCCCGTAAGTGTAGTAAATGTTTTTGCTCAGGAGGTGACGGAAGTCTTGCCCCGCTGGATGGCGAGATCCGGTGCCGACCTAGCGTCGGCTAGCGAGGTTTTCCCCAACCAGATATTTCCCGCCAGCGGGGCACCGCTCCAGTCGGAACAAGCTTTAAATTCCCGACCGGTCTCGCGGCATGTGTGGTACTATAGTGCATGTTAGTGTAAATGTCTGTAAGGGGGAGGATAGGACAAGAAAGAGGTAGGAAAGATTGCGCGCAGTCCGTAGCCCGTTTGTTAGGGTACTATTACGGCAATCGCTTGGTGTTAATCGGAGAAACCACGAAAAACTACCAATCAGAGCAGCCAGCCACTAGAATTCTCCTCAAGACAGCAACTGATTTCGACCTAGCTGTGTAGCTAGTGTTGAAAATCCTGCCTCCGTCGAACCTAGGACCTCCCAGCCAGAATGACTGCAATGACATCAGTTGGTGCCCTGAGCCATCTCTCCCAGTGAAGGACGGAAATGCCCCCTCCCCTAACATATTTAAGTAACTATTATATTTAACTTGACACAAAATTTCAAGCAAAAATATTTTCGAATAATCATTAAAACGAATAAAATCGTATCGCAGCATGAGCTGAGTGTAGCCTGAGACATTTAACAAAATCTGTAATTGACACACTCCACCAAAACATTTTGAATTTCCCCTCCCAAAATTTGTCTCTGGATCCGCCTCTGGGCTGATTGCACGATATAACAACTCGTGCAAAGTTAGGCGCAATAGCAGAGTTCCTATTGAGGAAGCGACGCAGATAAAACTACAGTACCTTCCTTCACAGCTCACGAGAATATAATGTCGCTCTCTGATACTGAGAAATAACGTCTTCTATGGAGAATTTTTTCTATGTGAGTTAACTTTCTTCATTTGAGGTTTAATTTCATATATATATATATATATATATATATATATATATATATATATATATATATATATATATATATAGTGTATAAAATCTTGGTTTTTACAGCAATTTCGTTGTAAAACTTGAACAAAATAATTTGGATGCAAATCTTTTTTTAATTTTATGAAGAAAAAATGAATCATTTAATGTTCAGTGGGGGAAATTAACGTTCGATCTTTAATGCTGATTGGTTTTATCATTTATTATTGTAAGGTACTATTATTAATCATGCTTATTAATTTTGAATGCTTAAAAATAATCTTGCTCGTTAGGTATGAATTGGGGTACTATTATTGAAAAATGTAATTTCAACTTCCAAGAAAAAAAATTAAAGAAACATATAACAATAAAAAAGGGACCTGGATGTGTGCGGACACGTGAGTCTTCATTTACGACACTTTTTATTAAATAATTTCGTTTCAATCACAAGTGTATAGAGCCGATGATTGGACAACTAAATGGCAAATAAAATTCAATGATTCGTCGGCTCAAATGAGAGGTTCGATTGGCATAAATCAAAAGTTTGGTTTGTCAAGGATTACGAGTCGAATTTCACTAATCTGCACGCTCTTATAGCTGCTCGCGAGTTGAATAGTAGGTATAAGCGCTGCGCTGCCGGAAAATGTCGTGATGTGTCATTTTAATTTAAAGGAAACAATCACACCAAAACTTGGCCGACTTCTCGTAGAGTAGTGACAACTAAAGGGCGATCCGGGGCAGGTCCAGGAAAAGGGCCACGCCCTCCTCGTGTCCAGTTCATCACGTACCTCCGGCAGTGCGCCCATGACGTGGAGACGAACCGAGTACGCGGTGGATGTGCTGGCACCGCCGAGCGGATCGCTGCCCCCCACTGCGTCGCCCACCTCATGGCCATGGCTGTCGATCCACTGCAGATCCACTTTGCCTGAATCAGTACGTCTCGGCGTTCGTCGCTGCTCCCTGGCGGTGACGCCGAGAAACAATGGGCGACGCACGCGCTCTTAGTGGCGGACAGGCAAAACCACGTCGCTGCTGTCGTGACGTACCAGATAAGAATATCCCGAGAAATCAAGACACGGTGCTAGTTCTTACATCGTGTATAAGGACAAGGAAAATATACTAATGCGCAAAATAAAAACTAGTGGTACTACAATAGCACATATTTTCTCGCATTATGTCTAAGTGATCGTGCATAAACATGTTTTTTTCAGCCAGCAATCAATATTTTCCGCAAAACTAAGATAAACTCGGCCTCAGGTTCCCCGAGTAATCTCGCCGTCAGTCATTTCACTACGCTACAGAAGAATGGAAAGGTTTGAACTCGCGAACAAGCATCATAATTTTTATTGTCCGTTGATAGAGTGGCGGATCCAAACAATCATTTGAAGGGGGAAGGGAATCGTAGATTTTTGTTAAATAATAAATACATTTGTTATTATATTTTACATTATTTTGTACTTTATAAAGGATAATAAAGAATTTTTTAAATAATTAACATAAAGAAATATTTAAATAAATTTTGCCAAATAAAGGAACGTAACAAACGCAAATAACAAACGCAAAGCCTTTTGGCGGAAGTGCATGACATATGATGAGTAATTGATACATATGAGGAGCAATTTTAAAGAAAACTTTTGGAACGTTTTTACTTTCCCGTATACGTACGTATATACGGAGTAATACATAATATATGGAAAATTATGTAATGCTGAGGAAAATCGATTTCGAGATTTCAACAAAAATACACGTTTTGGGGTTTCCAGATACTGAAAAAGTGTTGTTTACAGACACCAGACGGACGGACGGACGGACGGACTTTTTGGAAAAAAAAACAACATTAAAACAGCAAACAGTAAACAGCAGCGCCTAAATCATGTGTAGGATTTTTTTCCAAATTGAATAAATCCGTCCGTCTGGGTCGAGTGAAATCTTTGAGATTTTGAAAAACCTTCAAAATTTGGGAGTAGTTTACATGACGCCGTCCGGAAATTTTCAAAATTTTCTCAAAAACGGCTCCAATTGTTTGCTTTAAATTTCTTGTTAGAATAGAGTAACACACACTCTTAAAATTGGCATATGTTCAATTGTAACGGTTAAAACTTAATTTTCGAAAATTTCAAAAGTTTTTTTTTCGGTGCCGTCCTACAACTACAGAATTAAAGATAGATATTTTTTTCAAATGAAATTTGTACTCCATAATTAGTTTTTTTATTAAGGTCATGTACATTTTGGTTTAGAATTTCAGTAGTTTTCGCGCAATATTACATGCAATCATTGTAATTTTTAAGAATAACAAAAACAAGATTTTCTCAAAAACGGCTCCAATTTTTTTCTTTATACATTTAGAAAAGATAGTTCTGAATGCACTCTTTAAGATGACATAAACGTCATATTGCTATATTCTTTTGTTTTTCAAAAATTACAAAAAATATTTTTTTACTAGTCTCTCGCGTCGTTTACACTAGCAGCAATTTCTTTATAATTACTGTATAAATGAGTACATGTGCTTTAAATAATATTAGATAAAGTTTCCTGAAAACTCAACAGTTTTCCTTTAAAATGATCTCAAAATTTCGCATTTTCAGGAACGCTCATTTTCTCAAAAACGGCTCCACATTTTTTCCTCAATCTTTTCCAACAGATAGTGTTAATTGCACTGTTAATTACACAAATGACAGAGAATTAATTTTTCTGTATTCAATTGTTTTTTCAAAAATTATACAAATGTAATTTTGTTGAAAGATCCCTTACGCCTTTACTATGCACATTTTCAGCGATTTGTAAACACTACTGGATTTGTGACTGGAGACGCTTGAAATGTCGTCATATGAAGATTTTCGAAAACGCAATAGTTTTCTGTGAAAAGAGGTTCAAATTTCGAATTAACAGTAGCGCTTAAATGACTTTTTCTTAAAAACTGTTCCAAATTGTTTCAAGAAAATTGCCATTTAGGACGAGGTTTTACTGTTCTTTAATATTCTTAAAATAATATTTCCGTTCTGCTATTACGAAGCAGAAATATTAAGAAAATTTCAAAAAAAATTCCTTTGGGAGGCGATAGATGGTAGCTGGCAAGAATATATGGTGGGTTTGTATAGCTAGCCGAGACCAATGGAAATAAAAAACTAATTCGAGATGCCATTGTGTAGCACTGTGCCATTCAGTAGCACCACTAGTTTTTAACAGAAATTGCATAAATTTCACACACAAATTACGCAAAATCAATTTTTATAACGAAAATTGTACACGACCCTTTTTTAAAGAGCTCATTTTTTTCGATAGACTTTGTTTCAAACAAAACTCGTTCTTCAGTTTTAAAATGTTAACTGTTTTGTAATTTTCGATAATACAGAGAGTTCGACGAAAATGAGAATTACACGATATATAAAATGGGAATAGCATAATATATTTCACCATTTCTTGTTACATACGAAAAGAAATTAAAAAAAGATTGGAGCGTTTTTTGAGAAAAAATTGTTTAAAAAATAAATTTGCCTCTATTTCGCGCAGAAGCACACGAAAACGACTCATATTTTCGAAAAATTGAACACGATCTAATTTGAATATCTACCTTTAAGAGACTGATTTAAGGAATACAATCTCCATCTCCGATATTGCAATTGCAACAAGACTTCCAAAAAAATGGCACTTTTGCAATTTTCAAAAAATCTGGGATTTCAACGAACCATTCTCTTAATCGTCTTTTACGCTACCCGAAGATGTTCATTAAAAAACATTGGTGCCCTTTTGAGAAAATTTTGAAAATGTTTTTTAAGCTTTATGTAAAGTACCCTCAAACATCAAAATATCCGTCTGAAACTCCCAAAGCCTCGTGTTTGTTCAGATCGATTGGGAGATATCAATTTTGGAAAAATCGACTGAACGGTTTAGGCACTAGCGTTGACAAACGTTTGTTGTCAATCGATTTTTCGGTATCAAGGATCCACAAACATGGATGCTTGCTACACCGCGTGTTAGAGAATTTTTTTCCTGAATTTAGCAACTGGATTTATCGACTTTTCGTAACCAGGGCCCAGGTTTTTGTTCCGGAGTTTTTCGGCGGAAAATTCTCCGTTTTCCGGCACACGATTACAAATCTTTCTTACGAAGTACCTTCTAAAGGATGTGAAAGTAAAAATGCCCTTTGCTTTACAAGGAGAAATAAAATGTTCTGGAAGGAGTACATTTTCGCTTTTTGTAGAATATCAGTAAATAATTATTTATTTCTATTACACTTACTAGGTAATTCGCTTTATTATTCATTACATTAATTAGTATGTTATTATATTTTTTTCAAAATTTCTAACTTTTATCTTTCAGGCTTCTATTGTAGGGCAGAGTAATAAAATAAGGGTTTTCCATTTGTAGGTGCGTTTACTTCCGCCTACGTCAGAAATGATGTCGATTCCATCTTCTCGGCGAAATTAAATTAACATTTAGTAGAAATGCTTTTGAAATATGAGTCGTACATCTTCCTATGCTCAAAATTATCTAACATTGCATCTGCAGATCTGCAAAAAGGCGAGCTGGATTACACCATGTTCTATTCACCCCCCTCTAAAACAATTAATACGATTTTGTTTTTCTTTCCAAAGCTTATTCCAATGATATTCTTTGAATGGTCGGTGAACTACATTATTTTGTGTAATATATATGGATTCACACACTGCAAGGAACTATTCACATACACAGCATTCTATATACACACATACACACTTTAACTCACAAACTCTTTGTTTTTTTAACACAAAAACCCTCTATTACAGCTTCTGAGCAAGGAATGGCAAGGGCACAGACTACGATTGAGCACTGAAAACAATGCCTCCAAAACAAGAAATGTGTGGAAAGGAACATTGTCGTGATGCAATGTTCATTCCCCTTCCCATTACATGAGACGTTTTCATTGTATTGCCGCTGTCAGTGGTTTCAAAACATGCTCGAAGAAAGGGCCGTTAACAGATTGTCCAGGGGGTACAAAAAAGTTAATGGAGCTCCACACCTTCGTTATCGAACAGGCATGACGTCCTTTCTTTGGTCAAGGAGAGGAGGTTGTGTGCCCATCTTCTGACTGCCGTTTTTGCTCCGGGTCATACTCGTACACCCAGGTCCAATGACGGCTATTCGCACGTTCGCATGTGCATACCCACATTAATTCGGGGCATTTCCTCTGAAACATCTCTAAACAAGAGGGGAATATAAGTCCTCATAGCATTGGAATTTCAAAATACGCGCCGTTCGGAAGCAGAGATTGACAGTCCGCCGCCGGTGCCTTTCGTGAAAGCCAGCCGGCGCACACTCCGAAACTGCGAACGAATAGAGCGCGTCGTTGGCTGCCGAGGGGCTGGGGCGGAGGGAACAATAGTGGCTCTATGGACGGAAGGAGCATTCGGTTGAGTGTGCGATCACGGCACTGCCTCTGCGCAGTGGCGATCTCAGTGAGTGCCTTGACATGTCTCGAAGAGATAACACTCAGCTAGCACAAGTTTGTAGAAGTACGTGAGACATAAAACGAAGGCAGTGTAAGATATCTCTTCACTGAAAAGAGCTCTCTCCCTTCCAATGAAACTTCTTCGCTACAACGCGAAACGCGATCATTGCATTGCATCAGTGTTGCATTCATAAGAATTGTGTTAATTTAATATTGTAAGCATTTTCTCTCGTATTTTGAAGTCAGTTGCAGTTACAAATCCATTTCGAATTAATGAGAATCCAAATGCATTTTGTAAACTATGTAGTTGGCTACTTTAGTTTTAATTCGTTTTGAAAAACTGAAGTTAGTGATCGTTTTTCTGTCAAGCGAGAAGAAATATTTGCTGAAAAGAAACAGCTTTGAACTGACTTCGTGTTTCGTCACACAGTGCAGACGGCAAATTATCTAGATTGTTTCGAGTATTCGGTAACTTGTACTTTTAGCCTAAGAATTATACAGCGAGCTTATGGAAAATACTTTATAGCAAATTGCGAGAAAAAAAATGAATCAACATGTACAATAGAACTCTTAACACACCTGGAAAAAATGTCCTGAAACCGCCGAGAACTGGATGACAGACGGGAGGGCCAATCCCGGTTTGCGCTTAAGTGGTGAAAGTTTGCCGGTGCCCCCATCTCCGACCCCATCCTCTCTTTCAGTGGCGCACCACCTCCTCCATCCTCCGAGAGCGTGACGGTATGGAGCAGTATGAAGTAGAGACGAACAAAGTAGAGATCCGGGAGGCTCACCTACCTCCACCGAGGGCGTGCTAACTCGCGGTTGGGTTCGGAACTACGGCGGGTATTAATATGGGTATTGCGAATTACGGGAGAGGTTCCATGTTCCGGCTAACTTTTGGCCGGAGCCGCGGGCCTCGCCTTCGATTGGATGGTGTGCATAAATAGTGTAATGGTAAGCGTATCAGACTATTGTACCCACATTGGCGGGTTCAAACCCAATCGATACCGTGGATTTTTTATGGGCGAAAAAATCCTTCGTGCGTCTTCCTTCGAAGGGGAAGTAAAGTCGGCTGTCCCACGTTAGTAGATTTACTTGCATGTAAAAGATCCTCAAGCCTAAATGACGCCGCAGAGCAAAATTCAAAAGGAGCTATTTCTCGCCCAAGAAATAGCTCCTTTCTCTGCTAGTTGGTGAAAGGAGCGTAGCGAAATTTCCGTGGTCAGACGGAAGAGCAGGCCTCATGGCCTGAGTCTCGCCACGTAAAATAAGGCTTCAATTCAATTCAATTCAAGTCCGCGTGTGCGGTGAGCATGTTTTCAATAATCTAACTGTCCGTTGAGAGAACAACAGTATATGAAACCACGTTGCCAAATTTCTTAAGTCCTTGATTTTTTACATAGCGTACCTTCTCAAACCGTAAAGAGTGGTAATTTTTAATTTATTGAATAAACTCCAATCGTACACTTTCAAAATATGAAGCTATGTACGTGTTGTTCTTATATGAATTGATTTTATCGAGGCTACTCTACAGAGCGATTTAATCACAAAGATATTCTTTCATTTACAGAACATTGATTACCTCGTAATGAACAATTACCCATTTCTTGCGGGCTATTACGGGTAGATGAACGGAATTGAATTAGGAAGTTTCACATATGGAGAGAATATACGGAGTTTCTTATATTAACATTACAAATGATATAGATTATATCTCCTTGACGGAATTAAATGTGTACTTGGTTGAAAATGTCTTTTGAAAAATCAATCGTACATCTTCGTGCGATCCAAATTGTCTTGCTTTGTATCTAAAAGATCCCAAAAAGGCGAGCTTTAGATCACACCACGATCCTAGAAAATCTGGAGATAATTGTAAACAAACTCAGTGATCGCTTTTTTGAATAGTTGTAGGTGGAGATTTTAACATCGATTTTTTGACAGATTATTATTTCAAAAAGCAACTTCTTAATTTAATTAATTTCTTCGGTATAGATATTACAAAAATGTACCTACACGGATCACACTTAATTCAAAGATCGCAATTGAATAAATATTAATGAACAAAATCACTACCAGATATGAAACTGCAACGAAAGAACTAGGGCACCGTGACCGCAATACACTAATTCTTTCAATTATAAGAAATACAAATACCGACATATTAAATAAAGAACGCATGTGTAAATCGTTATCTAAACATTAAGTAAAATAAGTCGTACAATACTTGCTGCAGAAATCATGGATCACTATTTACAGTATTGATACAATTACGCAACACAACATTTCTTTATCGTCCTCTGCGCCAGCGACACCCATGAATGAAAAATAAAATGAAGTTGCACAAAACTGTGCAATGTAGCGTTACGTCAACCCGGTGGGAACATCTGCCTCCGAGGCAGACATTACCAAAACACATTTATGACTCACCTTTTAATCATGGAACTCATAAAATTCCTTATTCTTCTCAACATTTTTTTTATTAGAAAAGACCTTATTCAAAAATGTTATCGTGAATTTTACTTACTTTGACAAAAAAATGGTTTAATTATCTTGTAGCATAATCACTGTCAGAATATCTATTGGAAACCAAAGTCAACGTGTAATTAGCATGGAAATCAGTAAAACTCTTCTCAGAAAATTATTTCAATAGTATCTACAAAGCAATTGTATAAATAAATCTTCTTGTGAAGTAAATGTTAAATCATGCAATATATAGGAACATGTTCGTGAAAAGAAGATATCAAAACCCACAACTGTGGGAACATCTGCGTATGAGGCGTGGCTAGATTCAAAAAATAATATTTTTCATGAAAAGGTCGTACGCCACAGCTGCAATGACTCTCTCTCCTTGAAGATTCTAACGCCCGTATTCTCATCGTGTAATTCGCCCATCGCCAATTCCTCGATTCGAAGTTTAATTTTTAAGTAATTCATGATTGAGAATATGGCCTTAGGTGTACTGTACTGAAGCACCCAACGACAGTGAAGATGCTTGTCGTACTTATACCGCTCCTAGTGATAACAATAGAAACTGACCAACAATAGAAAATTACCAACCCGATCAACGGGTGAAGTATAGGCGACCGAAGCATTTCTGGAGTACGAGTAATCTGAAATAGAGAAATGAGACTCGAAACATAAACTTTGCATTTCTGCATACGCAATGCGCGCGCTAGTTGGCCAAAGTCATTTCTGAACTGTTTTCCTCTATGTTGCAGGATTGGCCGTAGATGTCCGTAAGGGTAGGAATTGTCCCACCGCGGTGGCGTGAACGTACCTTGCACTTTCCGTGCGTTCACAAAACTGCACAAAGAGGGCTCTGCAATAGAAACTGTCTGCCTCTCAGACAGATGTTCCCATCAGAGGATTAATAAGTGCATTGAAGACAAAAAGGAATCCGCAAATCAATTCAATCAGATTCCATTGAAATGATTCAAATAATGCGCTGGCACCGCCCCATTTACGTTTGTAGATCACCATTGGTCACCTCTCTAAAGGATGATTTCCACGTTGCCAGTACACATGCCAGTTGAGGTTGCCAGTAACTGGCAAGTGGAGACTGGCAGACGTGTAACCGCCGCGTTGGTAGTGACTGGCAAGACCTTCGCGCCAGTCACTGGCGATGCTAGTTGAACAATAATATTTGGTTTACTGGCATGCTCACGCTTCCCCCTCCATGGCGGTCCTCCGACTCTCAACTCGTGTGTAGCCCTATACTGCTTCGGTGGGTACACTACTTTATACTTGCAGGGTGATCTATGTAAGCTTATTATTATAATTATTTATAAAAATTGAATGGGAAGCAGAAGCCTTCTTGAATAACGGAAGAACTAAGTTTGATCGATTATAAACAAAATCGGAAAATTTGTGGTATTACCAGAATATACGAACCGCGTGGCCTAAAATGCCGCATTTCTGTCAAATGCAAATAAAATGGCAGGGTTTGACAATATAGTTAAAAAATGTATTTTAGATACAAACTAGTATTTTAAAATACTCTTGAAAATGTAAAATACAACAAACGGTGTTTTATTCATCATAACTTCTGTTTTATTTTTTCTTCTTTTAAACGTCATTCATATTCAATAAAATACCACCACATTACATTTAAAGTTTTATTATTAAAAAGATATAACATTCTTTATATAACAACGTTTCTAGTGTAGTTTCAACCCATCAGATATCCATATTATTAGAGACGTATGTTCATATTTTAGGGGTGAAAGGCATCTTGGTTAATTGTCCACTTACTTCTAGGCTGTCCGGGTGACGCCGCGTCGTTGGCAGATAGGCCGACGTTTCGCCTGTCATGTCTCAGGCTTCTTCAGGGTAGTGACACAATAAAGCTCCGCCTCCGGTGTTATATCTTATTCAGCTTAGGGGCCCTTCACGGCGCACTTGCGTTACCCGACCCCTAAGCTGAATTAACATTAAAATCATTGGGGATATCAAATAATATTTTAAGCGCGTGACATGAATATTGAAATTCAACTATCAAAATTTGAATTCAGCACGGGACACTGCAAACATTTTTTTGTTTCGATAAAAAGTACAATGTTTATTTATATTTTAAATATCCATATATTTATTATAATTAATACATTGGAAAATTAGTTAAAATTAGTTAATTTATGGTTAACTTAGTAATGAAAGTTCCACCACTCCGTGAAAAATGACGAACATTTTTGGGAACCTTTGTATATGTACACTCTAGATTATTCCAAACAATTATTAAAATTCAATGTAGGTAATATTTCTATCAATGATAATAATTAATTCAAATTTCTAAAATGAATATTTAAAAATCCTACAGTAATAAAAATATACGGAAGAATCAATTTTAGCTAATAGCACAGGGGCTCGAAATCCGTTGACACTTTTCATACCCGATAAAGGACACGTGTTTCATACATTTCATTTTCTTATAAAGCAGCACTTTAGCATCATCGCTAAGGTCATGATAATATTTACTTCGAATCCAAAAAGAAAAAGTAGCGACTTGACGTGTGTTGATAAAATAGTACTTTTTTCGACATAAAATTTGTATACGAAATTCACAGCCAGAACGTAAACGGAAAGAAACCTTATATCATTGAAAACAACATTTGTAATAAGACACATGCATCTCGTCAACCGCGTAATAATGCTAAGAACAGTAATTCTCTAGGAATCGCTTATTCGCACAGCAGATGTTGCCACCCAACACTTCTCGCCAAACGTGTCATTCTGGACATTTTTATTGCCAGTAGCACAGAGCGACAGCGCTGCCTGGGTGCTGGTAAACCCCAATGATTGGCAACGTGTGAATCAGCCTTTAGTTGCCAGGGTGCCCGTGGATTCTAAATCCACATTATAACTTGAGACAAATTTAATTTAAATTTTCCATAAATGTTTCGTAGATTATGAATGGGTTAAGAAATTCACTCAGATTTATATGAAGCAAAGAATATATACATTTTATCTGTTATTATTATTCTATGACTTTTTCTCGGAGTATATATTTTGATTTAAATAGAATGACTTTTGATACAGTACGTCACATATCCAATCGCGAGCTTCGTTCCAACTTGAATTTTTTTGTTTTCAAACTCCCAGCGATAACTGCGGAACAGCTGATGATCTGTCAGAAGTCACTCACTTTAAATTGGAGTATAGTAAAGATTTCAACATTCTTTTCTGTGAGTTTGTGGAGGCTGAACGCAAGTGCAAACTGGGAGGCAAGCACGTGTTCTTCCGAGTGGTATGTGCCAGACGGTTGTGAAGGAGATTGTATTTGGATCGAAAATATTCTTAATATTCAGTTGGTGATCATTATAGCAATATGGAAGGTATGTTACAAAATAGCTGTGCTGTGGTTGAGGTGGTTAGCTGATAAAATCGTGATCGTAATGTGATTTATTTTCCTTTCAGATAAAAAGAGACCTACAAAGCGTCAAATGAAAGAGGATGAAGCACCCATGGAAATTGACAGGGGCATTGAAGGCAGAAGTAAACCGGATAAATCTCAAGCGAAAAAAATGAAACCCACAATACCTAGTGAATTTAGGAAAATTTCTGTGCCGTATCATAGATTTACCCCCTTGAAGGAACATTGGATGAAAATATTCACACCAATTGTAGAACATTTACATCTGCAAGTTCGTTTCAACTTGAAATCGAGTAATGTTGAGATTAGGACATGTGAGGCCACTGAAGATGTGGCTAACATTCAAAAAGCAGCAGATTTCGTGAAAGCATTTGTGTTGGGATTTGAGGTTGAAGATGCGTTAGCTCTTCTACGTTTGAATGATTTATTCATAGAATCATTTGAAGTGCAAGATGTTAAGCCGTTGAAAGGTGATCATGTTTCACGAGCTATTGGACGATTAGCTGGTAAAGGAGGCCGGACCAAATTTACAATTGAGAATGTCACAAAAACTAGAATAGTTATTGCTGATACTAAGATTCATATTCTAGGGTCTTTTCAAAATATTCAGCATGCACGAAGAGCAGTATGTAATCTTATTTTGGGAAGTCCTCCATCTAAAGTTTACGGTCAGTTGCGAGCTGTTGCTAGTCGGATATCAGCCAGAGTGTAAAAAGTTTGTAATGTTACTAATTACATTTATAATGGTGAAATTTAATTTTTGATTAAATATTGTTTTTCTTGAGAATTGAAAGCAAACTGGTATAAACTATGTGTGTAGATTTAATGTATCAGATGTCAAAAATAATGTGAAGTGCATTTAATGAATTGTAAAGTAGTTTCGATTATTCTGCTCATAAAATATTGAAAAATTGGAATAGTTGTACCAAGTGTAATATAAAATACTTTTTTAAGTTAACAAATGAATTTTCATGTAAACTCTGGTATTGAAATGGTGTATTAAACTCTGAAAATTAACTCTTGGATTGTTCATTTTATTTATGTTTAACATCCTACCTCCAATGTCTACTGCATTGAAAAGCGCTAAGCAAGAAGTGCTTTTTTTTTTGTGGCCTAGCATTCCAAGAATGAGAATGCTAACTTTCATAATTGATGTCTTTCCATGTGTTTGGTGATTACAAATTTACTAGGACTTGCTAATTTCTAAGGCTGTTTCTTTCATCCAGAACGAAGTTACCCTAAAATGAGGTCAATGTTATTTGAAGTGAAGCAAAATTTACCTTCAACGATCACATGTGGACTGTTGAGAAAATCTGGACGTTGTTCTTCGTAGTGACTACTACTCAGTTAAGTTGGGTAATTCTGAAAAAAGTGTAGAAAATAAATCTACTGAAAAGTGTTGACTTGGTTCAATTTCTTGTAATTTAATTTGAGTTCAATATACTACTTCATCATGTGTTAAATATTTTCTGGATCTGAAAGACTAGTGACAAATATTATTAAATATTAGTTTAACATAAAAAAATTGGTCATTAAATTTTGCAATTAAGTAACACATTCATAGATGTAAATTGTTCTTATATTCCCACATTAATGACAAAATGCTGAAATGATTTTGGAAGTTACGTTTCCGATATTGTGGGCAAAAAAATCTTTTATATAATCATGTACTTTGAAATATTAATGGAATGAATCTACATGTTCTAGTTTTAGGTTTTACAAATGAAGATTTTTGTGCAAGATTGTGTTGACTGAAGATTTTGAGTTCTGTGGTTGGAAGTTTTCTGTCAGAAATGTTGACACTTTATAAGAAAATCACTATTTTGCAAAATATTTGATAGAAATGTGTTATCAAATGTAGAAATCAGTATAAGCAAGAGTGTGTTGGTTTGCTTGTAAGAACGTCTAATCTCGAGATCTGCTATAGTTGGCTCCTATTTGCACTAATAATTGTGAACATAGAAATGAAGTCAATGCAATTGCGGGAAAAAATACACAGTATTATAAATTATGGGACATTAATGGCAATTTTATCACAAAGTAATAAGTAATTAGAACTTACAAAAATCAGTTGAATTACTATATTACAGTATCATTACAAGAGTAATAATTGTTTAAAGAATACCTACCTTCAGAAGAAAATAATTTCTGAAATTCTTTTCACAGTAGATAAAATACCTTAGTCTTTCATTCAGTGCCTTAACACCTTCCATAGTAAAAGTTAATATTTTGCTGCTCTATTACTTGTAAGAACCAGTTTTGTTAGATCAAGGAAAGAAAGAATATTAAAATAATCACAATTTTAAAGAATAATTAAAAAGTTCTGGGCCAGTCAGATAACCTCCAATTTCCTTAGGTAGCTTCCAGATTTAACACCTTGCACTAAGCTTTTCGAATTTGTTTATATGTAGACATACACCTCATATCTTGAAGTGTTGTTAATAAATGTAAATGTCTTCACATGTCTCAGGTGCAAGACATTATGAGTAACGTGCACTGCACAACTATGTGCCACCCAAAGTTAAGATAGAACAAACATGTTTCTTATTCTTCTCCTTTTATAATGACAGAGATGTGTTTTTTTAATATTCACAACTTCTAATACGTAAAAATTAATACTTGTTGGCATCAGTAACAAAACAAAAATTTCATTAATCATATGTAATTATTTTATTAAAATATTTTTGTGGTGAGAAAGAAGATATATTTAATATCCAATTATTAATCCAAATATAATAGGATTCTCACACTAAAGTTTTGTATTTTTATTGCCTATTCACAACATACCGAACAATGACTTTTTATTATCCTGAATGAAGTTGCTGAATCATAAAATTCTTTGTTTACAAAATACTAGTCCAAATTCTCCCATTAGTATTAGAAATACAGTACACTGTTTTCTTCTTCAAAATTGCAGTACCAAGAATCATCTACTGCAAATACAAACATACTATTGTTATTCCAAGAAAAAATAGTAAATGTGCATTTCCCAGAGAAGGAGCTCCAATTGTGATGAGCAAATTTCAAAACATCAATGCATTGCACTAGTTATAAGAGGTGCAGATTTGAAGGATGATGCAGAAGTTGGGAAGATGGAATTGGTCTCAGTAAGATGGATGGCATTTGCCTTGATGGTTTTTATCATTGCACCTGAAGCTACAGCTCAGTTTTTGCCTCCTAATGGCTATCCATTCGTAAACTATCAAGATAAAAATCAAGCAATTTCTTATCCACAGCCACCAAGTTCAACTAATCTTCAACAACTTTTTAAAGGTAATGGAATTATTTTCTTATAAGTAAGGATGTGCCCAATTAGATGCATTTTTTTTAACTGTCTCTATATAAATTTTCGATTTGACAAAAACTGTAGACAATACTATCTAAAAAACTATTCAAGAATTATTTATGGTTGTAAAACAATGCAAATTAACATTCTGTAACAATCCTAGTAGCCTGGATGTTTATGACATGTCATATTTTTTTCTTTGTGTTATGTCAATGGAAAATATAAGTTAAGCATGATTTTATGTACTCTCAGGGCCGTTTTAACAGCATTATTTTTTTTCTCTCTCTCTCTCTCCCTCTTAGATATGCAAGAGTATCAAGTTAAACTCCAAGGTAAGTTAAAAAATTAAAATCTTTATATGTAAGCAGAGCTCTCATGAGTGGTTTTTTTTGAAATCTATTTTCCAATGTTAACTTGCGAGGTCATTAGAAATAGTTCAATTTGACTGGTAACAAAATTTTGGAAATAGCAGTATCCTTTTCACACCAACTCTCAATAAAACTACACTGATACATTTTTTTAAATATTGGAATTCATATTAAAATTAATGTGAATTAAATTTTATCATCGGCATTGAATCATTGGCATTGAATTTCTATTAGGGTACCATTAACTATTTTTAGAATACAATCATCTCTTTCATAATTAATTATCAAATTATTTGAAATATATTGTAGACATAAACATGAATATTTTAATTCACACAATCTCAATTCTGTAGCAAAACTGAATTCATACAGGAAATTGTATATGTGTGCGGCCATTGAAAATGGGATAAATCTTTAAAAAAATATATTTGAACAGTTTCATTATTAGTATTACTTCAAGTTAGCTGTATCTAGAATTGAATACAATATCATCTTTAAAAGAAAATTGATTACATGTTTCTTCATTGTAGGTTTAATGAAAAGCCTAATGTTACAAGCAGTTCTTGGTACATCAAGAATGAATGGAATGCCATATCAAGCAGAGCGCATGATGTCACGGTATGCTTCTCCACCAACAGGATATGCAAATCCAACAGGTTTTCCCAATCCCATGGGGTTCCCAAATCCGACAGGGTATGCAAATCCCATAAATGCAGGTGAGTGTTTAAAAGAAAACTAGCGCACTTTGATACGTAGTTTAGATTTACTGAAATTTTAGAGTTGCCACCTCTTTGGATTTGACTCTGAGATTCCAGGTTTTTAACTCGAATCTTTGCTCCTGATTTACTCTGATAATCTCCGGGTCATTTCACTCAATTATAGTAATTGAAGTACACTTTTTAACACACAGCACATAAAATCTGCATCATTTTAAATGGGTTTAGAATGCTCACTTCAAGTTAGTCTATCTATCTTTCCAGAATCTGTCACTTTGGACAAATGAGAAAGAAAAGGACAGTTTTCAGTTTACGTGGAATAATTTCAAAAGAGCCTTTTAAAAAATACTGTTCATTATAAGATTAGTCATAAAAATACCTTTGTGATTGTATCTCTTAGGACTTAACAAAAAAGAAATAATGCATTTACAATTGGTAACTTTATGTCACCAAGTAGATTGTATTGTGTTTGTTAATATGGCATGTTATTACCCCCCAAAACTGATTTGATCAAATTTGCATGAATGCAGATTAAAATTCTCATATTTGTTCAAATTTTAAGCAAACTAACATCAATTTAATCAAAGATATTGTTGTGGCATCAAAAATTTTCAGTCTAGACAAACCATTTAATAATCTCAAGATAATATTTGTTCCAACTTTCTCTCTACCTACACCCCTTTCTCAGGGCCAGATTTACCTACAAGCAAAACAAGCAGTTGCTTGGGGGCCCCCCATCCATGAGACGCCTGTGCTTCAGAAAAATATACAGAACATAGTATTTTGTACCATAAAATGTATTTAATGTAATAAATATAAGTAAAATTGTATATAAAAATGATTAGTTTCCATTTGTATTTGTACAGAATGTTCCATTTTATTTAATAAAGATGGAACTAATTTTAAAGAGGGGAGGGGGTGCAACTCAATTTTGTGCTTTGGGGCCCCACAATACCAATTCTAGCCCTGCCCTTTCTTCTTGATTCATCTGTATTAAAAATTCTCTGCATGAGGCAGGCATCACTTTCAGCAGGTGGCAACTCTATGAAATTTGCTAATATATAACATTACATTTGGGTCTTCATTGTTTGCAGGATAACAGAACAGCAACTCAAGTGAATGAATAGCAATTTAGTCATTCATTCTACATTATCAGCTAGTAGTGAATTTGTAACATCCCACTTTTAAACTATGTTATAACTATTTAAGTGTTGGGAATATAATGTTAAATATTTCAAGGAAAAGGGAAGATGGGCAACATTCATGAATGCTGACATATAACATGTTGAAATTAATGGATATAACAAATTTTAAAATCATTTGAATTGTGAATTGTTTTTGCCAAATTTTGCATTGTCAATAATATTTCTGCTATTTTTAAGTAAATGTTAACAGAACATTCAACTTGTATTTATTGTACTAACATTTAATGCTGTTTTGATATCAGTATTTATGACAGGTCTCTATATAAGACTGGTTAATAACATATCAAACATCACCATAAAGGAAAAATTTTATTTTTTTATTTCCAGACTAATGAGTGGTCTTGATTTTTTCAAAGTTTTGTGTTGAGCATTGTTAAATGACAAAAAAAGATAATTGCTATTTGCATTGTAAAAAATTAGTAAAATTATTACGTAACATGTTATTAAATCATTGAGGTGTGAAGTTATGAAATGCTTATCTTGTTGATTGTGTAACCAACACTGACTCTAGTGTATTAAGGTGTTCTTTGTGATTTTATCTTACCTGATATTGATTTTCCAGTGTTGCACATAGGGTCTATAAATAGCAGTTGGAGAAATTAAATTTGTTTGTTTGATTTAGTTAATGAACTAATCCAGTTTATGTTACATTCATTTTGCAAAGAAGCCATTGACTAAATGTAAATTCTAAGGATCAGGCTTCTGCTTGAACCAAAGATATTCCATAAATCTCATTATCTGATAAATAGTGTATATAGTGTAAAATCAAGTAAAAGGAACAGATGATAGTTTTTCTTTTATTTTATCATACAATTGTTTATCATTTTTTATTGGAATAATTGTCCTCATACTAACATGATGAGCCTCAAGCAACTCTCAGTCTTCAAACATTGATTAACATTGTTTGTGGATTTGGAAAGTTAAGAAAATGTGATGACTCAATACAATAATATTTGTACTTATTCTTGATCATCCTAGAATCCACATTTTCATAATTTTTACAATTTCCATTGATTTCATGTTAGTATATCTTTGAATTTTAAAAAATACGTTTTTTTTTCCCCTCCTTGATTTTTCATATAGAAATGAACAGACTAATGTAAAATTTCACTGAAATTTTTTGTTAACTTACTTGTGTTTCAAAAATATCCATTTTAAGAATGTACATCTCAAATTATTTAGTTTAAATATTATAAATATTTTAGTAATATTAAATAATCAAAATGATTTCATTTTCTAACAAAAATACTAAAAAGGTAACCTAATACATTAAAATAGTAAAACATTCATAGTTCATAGAACAATAAAGATGAAAATATTTAAAAGCCTGTGCAAATCAAAGCACAAAATCAATTTTGCCAAATATACGATAAAAAATAATATTATTCACAAATATTTCTAATTGTCTTTGCTAGGATATTTTCACAAATACAGATTTCTCGTTACTATTCATCAACACATTCTGAGTTTGCAATTAAATTATTGTAAAAAATGACTTTTCAAAACGTCCAAAACTTTATTGTTCAAAATACAACAAACATAAATAACCTTTTGACACCCTGTAAACACAGTCTAAGACAGATTTTCACCACTCACTTATTCAACATAGCCAACAAACACTTGCACATTCCTATTAACGGTTGTACTGAAAAATTAGGCACAAACCCTCAATGGAAATTACAATCTGACTGGGTGATTGGACACAATTTCTGCAATGAATAAAAATTATTCTCTTATTAAGAAAACATTACTTTACAATGAAAAATACAGTAGACATACAACAAGGGAAATAATTTCTAATGAATGATAGGTGATATCTCATTAAACAGTTTACTGAAAAATGTGTGAACCAATCCTCCAGTTGGTCATAATTTCCGTAATATCCATTAAACAGCACCGCCAGCAAAGAGACCCCAAATGGCATCATATGGAATAAATTTGTATTTGTACAAACATCAACTTTATTATTATTATTATTATTATTATTATTATTATTATTATTATTATTATACTCAAAAATACCCTGCAGAGAAAAGTTATACTGACAAAAATATTAATTTGTACCATACAGAACTGGAATGTAAAATAATTATAACAATAACAATATAAATAATCAAATTATAAAAGAATAGGAACCCATTTTATAATCATTTTCAGTTCTTAAATGCTCTATCAACAAACACTTCCAGATCTCACGGGCAGAAGGGATATTTTGCACGTCAACAACGAATTATAGGTAAGTCCTTGGTTTATTGCCCGGTACAAAACATTTAAACCAGATATTCACTGCAAAACATTTTTAAGTTGTTTAGAAATATGCTGTTCCAATAAATATAAATTATATTGGAATAAAAGAAACAGCTGCTTTGTAATTCAAAATGTAAGATCATGTAACTGCATCTCCCAGAAATAGACCTGGTCATAAATAGTGTATTAATGTTCCCAAGCACTACAAACTAACGTTTTATCTTACCATATAGCATTCCCCCCCCCCAACTGCTTTGAGGTCATGTTCTAAATCATTCCAGACAACTTACTTTTTTTCCACATCCTGACATGAGAAAACATTATACAATACAATAGTGTGTATACATATACAACACACAGAAATATTATACATTGGTTTTTAAAATACAAGTTTAAAAAAATAACATTTTTCCTGTGTAGAAAAGCAGTTTAATGCTCAAGGATTTGATTGTACACCAGAGAGGAATGGGTATGTTTTGAATTTTGTTATACAAATATTGAACATTTAGATTTTTACAATTAAAAATGTTTTAAAATTAAAAATGTATTAGTTTTGTTCCACAAATTTAACATTATTAACCGATTTTGGAAGCAAGCATATTTTTAAAAGCACTAATAAGCAAGTAGAAATTCATGGAAAAATTGAAAATCTAGTAGAAAAAATTAGCAAGATTATATCTCTACTTTATCTTATAAGCATGATGTATCATGCTTATTATTATATATTTCACTATTAATTTCTTATGAGTACTAGTAGGTGCCTCTAATGTATGTAAAAACATTTGATAACTATTTAAAAGACTTAGGGGAAAAAAATAATTTTTCCTCCCAAAATATTATTCCAAAATCAGCCAAATTTTAATCTACAAAGAAAAAAATTGCTATGTAATTTTATTATACGCAAGAGCAAACCCCATCTGGTGTGCATATCCAGCCATCAGCACTCAACTGATGAAGAGAATACTGATTGGATCATAGTCTGGCGGCACGTGGCCTAGCTATCTTGGTCAAAAATATATTAATTTGTATTTTCTTCTGCCCTTTAAGTTTATTAGCAGTAAGTCTTAACACTGCATAAATAAGATACTACTTGAGTACTTGCATAGAAATATGTAAATATATCTTTGTACCTTCATTGGCATGCAGATCAATCTACACAAAAATATGCAAATACATTTTCAGTACCTACATGTACGTTAATGACAGATAAATAACCATGTAATTTGCAGATTTACCCACAATAAATGCATATTTGAGGACAATTTCTTGGCACAAATAAATAATTAAATTAGCAGAATGCATTTGTTTTTTTTTCAACTTAAAGAACATTTTTTAAATTATATTTTGCTTCTCACCTTACCTATATGCCACTTACATCTCGGTTCTGTTGCTTTCCATCATCATACTGCTATAATTTTTAATAAAGTCCTTTGTCATACTAGGAGAAAAACAAAAACAAAATGGGTTTCACAGAAACCAAAATTTTCTCCTTCATGCACCTATATTAACTAGATTAAAATTGAAAAGTTTGCATCATGAACTCATCATAAATAAATTATAGCAAGCTAACTTCCATACACAAATGTCATTTCAAACAAAATTCATAATTCTGCAAAGATCATCAATAAGTAGAGAAACCGGAACACAGCATTCAAGCCTAAACTGGAATACCTCTTGACACAGTGTATTTTTGAGGTTTTTTCAACTTTATCAGCAACTAAATCTTTCAGACATTTATCAAAACTGAAAATGAAATCCTGCATATTTCTAGCAAATGACAAAACGTATTTCCCGGTTTATGTTTCATTGAATTATGCAATATTTTCATAGCTAAACACTGTTCACCATTTACTTATTTGAAGAGCTTTATTTGACACGAGCTTATGAAAGAATTGTAATATGTAATATTCTAAGATCTAGCAAAAGAGGAAAGATTTAACTGATTATTTTCTATAACCATTGACAGATCCTTGACATAACTCTACATAAATGATGCAAATTAAGAAGAACTCAAATCATTAATTCAGGGATCTCTTCCTAAGACACCCATGCTTCTGGTTCAAATCTTCAAATAATTCTTAACTGAAACTTGCAGCAAAATAATGGAAAAGAAATTGTTTGGAAAGAAACAGATACCTTTCCCCCATTTGACTAGTTTAATTCTTGGCTTGGGATAGAAACTTGAAAATACAAATTGTACAGTTAATGAACTAATTTTGTAGTTCTTTTGATTTGATCACAATAAACAAATGCATTCAACTACGAAGAACATTTTGTAGCAATTTCAGATTTTGAAGACCTTGTGATACTCCCACAGTGGCATGCACCTCAGGATATTGTTAAATCACATAGTTACATTATTCAAATCATGATTATATTCAATGACCAAGTCCCACCACCTCCCAATTTATATCATTATGCTGTACTAGCCCTTTGATTCTCCTCTGACCTTGCCATCTTGATTTAATGAACAAATGTGTTCACTTCTTCTTCTTCTGCTGCTTCAGCCTCCTCTTCTCATCCCTTTTACGTTCCTTATCCTTCAGACTCTTGTACAGCTTGTAGCCAAAAAACACTAAAAAACACAAATAAATGATCAATTATACTGCACTTTTGCACTATCAAATCAGGCCAACTTACAAATTTATATATTTGACACATAAATAAATGTTCATTTAAGAAAATAACTTCGCACTTGAGACAAGATTACAAAATTTCTTTAGGCTAATGGACGAACTTTGGAAACAACTAACAAATTTTAAAAACTAGAACAAGTCATTTGATAATCATTGAAATTAATTAATAATTCTGCACAATTAAATTATATTGCACTGAAATTAAAATTCATAGAAATGTAATGTATTTTTGGAAAGACTAATATCCCTTCAGTGTGTATGCACTTAACAAGGGTAAATTAATCACCTTTCAATTAGGTGCAATTTCAACCTTGGTCTATCATCTGAAATGGGGCATCAAAATACAAGGGAATATTATTATGTTCTATAATTAATTAATATTGAATTGGCAGGAGAAGGTGATTTTTTATAAGAACAGTAATATGTGCAAACCACGAAAAGCGGCCCAGAGGTTACTTTTCCCTACTTATTACTAATGATAACTAAAAGTTAAGAAATATGTTAAAATTAAAGGTGTTCAATAATCAGCAAATACAATAACAAAAATTCATTTAGAAAAGTAGCTGCAGGTATTGTTAAATTTGGTTTGACAAGTTTGGTTAGTATGAATATAGTACACTGAACACACAGGCCAACACACACCCATGCACACACACATTAAAAGAGAATCCATTAAATTAGCAATGCTGACATAAATCACAAAAATGACAATAAATGTAAGGCAATAAAAGCAAACTTCTCAGGTGAAACAACTGTAAACTTTCAGTAAATTACAGCACAAAGACATTACTTTTAATATCTGAACAAAAAAAAAATTGAGATGATCAGATATTGCAGAGAATTGACAACTACCATATATACACCTGGCCACAAAAAAATAAACAAAAAAACAATCTGAGGAGAATGGTTCAAAACTTCATCATATTCGTAAAATATATTTTGTGAAGTATAGAAAATAACAAATAAAGCAATGAACATACAACAAGATTCACAGAATTAGTACATTATTTTCAAATTACATTAACACCTGCACACACGACACTGCATTGAATGTATTGCATCATCATAAATAATGACCCAAAACACTGGGAAGAGAAATTTATAAATCCTAGGACTAAAATTTTCATTTAAACTAATAAATATGCTGTATTTGCAAGATAAACACATTCTACATAGGTGAGGAAAGGAGGTGAAAATTTTAAGAATCAACATTAGTTCCCAGTGAAGAGATGGACACATATAGCACAGTTAAATGAAAGTTAGGTTGAATGGCCCATCTGATATTCTTTCACACAATTAACATCAATTTAACTACACAGTCATCCAAGAATTAGTCAAGAAACAGGATGAATGAATCAACCAATCAATCACATAACTTGCAAAACAACAATGGATACATCAAATAAAAATTGAACAACTGAAGACTAATTTAACAATTTCTTAATTACAGAATACATCACTTAATACTGAATAAGATTGACTGTTGCTGTTCATCAATTGACAATTATGGCAATGACATATAATGTCTAATTTATTTATTCTAAAATGTACCTGCGAGATACACTCAAAAATCAAGCATCATGATCTACTGAACTCAAAATATTTTTTTCTGATATATTAAGTTTTTATTACTTAGTGCTACACCAATCATTCATTCAGTGAAATATAACAAAATATATATAGATGATATCTTGAATAAAATTTTATGTATAATTGAGACATTATTTCAACCACCAGAAGAAAAGTGACTACGTACCAACCAAAAATATTACAAGCAATGCTAATAGAATCCACAAAATTATAGTTTGTATAACTGCCCAACGCATCTCACTATGTAAACTATCCAGACCAGCTGCAAGTTTCTCAGCAACACGCTTGCGTACATTTTCTCGGAACTTCTCTTTGTCATCTTCACTTAATTCTTGCAAAGCTGCTACACTCTGTTCAAGTCTTTGAATAGTAGCACTAGCGATATTAGACACATCTTCTTCATCAAACTCTTCAGAAATCATGTTGCTGTGTTCAGACATTTTATGAACTAAGAGAACAGAAAAATATCTAAGAACTGTTTTGGAGACAATGCTCAGACTTAGATAAGGTAGGCACAAGTTAGATCACCAAACACAAGTTAAGTTTGTTTGGTTTGTTTGTTTTTATCTAATTGAACACACAAAAGTTTTCTTTATGTCTTCGAACTCAATACATTCACACACTTGCAAGAAAAGTGTAAAAAAAAAGAATATGTGGAACCTTTTCGTTACAAATGGAATGTTGTAACGAAACACAAGACTACAAATGGTTTGTTGAACATTCAGACCAAATCTTCCTTGTTATAACAGCATTGTTAAAATTACTAAATAACACACCTCTCAAGAAAAGAACTCTAGGTTCCAATTTCAATAAAAAGGTAAAGATAATGATATCTTATCCCATAAAAACCGTCAATCTCATATCTGGTAAACATATTATATAACACATTGCAAAGAGGCACTTATAAGATAAAAGGCAATTCACCTACTACTCATCTTCTCAACCGAGTCAGAGCTTTCAGAGGCAAAGGTGCTAGGAAATAATTTTCATTAACAATTTCGCATGAAAACTAAAATGTGTCTGAAGTCTCAATCACTCGTCCTTATCTTCCAACAATCAAGAACAAAAAAAACAACCAACAAACAAACAGTAACAAAATAGGGCATGTCAAGAAAAACTAAAATCACATATAAATACTTGTATTGCATAATATAGTACATTAATCCCACTTTTATTTCTAATACTTTTTTTGTAGGTAATCATTGGAGCAGTTTTTAATAAAATCAAAAGAATTTGAACAGTTTTTAATAAAATCTAGTAACATATTTTTTAAACTGTCACTATTTCACCTAAAATTCACAAAAACTACTCATAATTAGAAAAAAATGTAAATTATATTATTTAAAGATCTGATTTACAAGATATTTCATTAAGAAAAATCTCTAAAAAGCTATATTAAAATCTCCCTAACACAAGTATGGGAGGGGCCAATTTTTAACTTGCAAATTTCAGATGTTTCACTGAAAATCGGATCTGTGCCGTTTTTATATGTGTACTTTGCTCTATTCATCTAAAAATGTCGAAAATATCCTAGGATTTTCATTTCCTGGGTGTACTTTATATGAAGATCAGCTTCAAAATTACATTACACGATTGATACAAAAGTTTAAGTCATCAGTAAAATCTTTTCTGCTACACAACTATTTCTATACAATTAGAGACTATACCGAGCATCCAAAAGGAAAGTAATATTAATTTTAACAACGACATTTAGCGTATTATTTACCATTTGGGTTGTATAATTTTAAAGAACCTGTAACAAGTATTGTACTTCAGCTTCTGGGCCAATGGCCCCCCATCTCGATCAAATTTTCGACCAGTTTCTCTGATCGTTGAGCAAATGCTGATATGACCCCTTGTTTTGCTACTGATATAAATGTAACTTCTATTTAACATCCCACACAGTTTTTAACTGTTTTTGACATAAATAAATAAAATCACAGGGCCTCGAATGCGGCCAGAAACGTCGGGGAATTGGATATTGTCTGTACAGTTATGTCACTAGGATCGACATGACGGACGTTTTCAGAAAAATATCTATCAACACCCCACAAAACTTGCTTTTCTAACGAAAAATCGGCACTCTTTCCAGCAACATTTCATCTCTTTATATAAACTCCTCGTTCAAAAAAGTAAAATCAATACCATCTTGATATTCTCACTACAGTGCGACTATTTTATTAGTGTGCTACGTTCGTGGATTATTCTTCTCGGCGGACGGGCCCTCAATCGCCGGGAATCGGTGCGCTGAACTCCGCCAAGAACGCTGCTCAATGTCTCGCCCTTAGAAAGGCATACTTGTCAGTCTTGGTGAATAGTGGGTTTGTGATGGCTCGCTCGAAGTTCACTTGCAAACAGAATGTGTTAGTGTATAACGCATACCGTAAAATGTGTCAAAGGCATTGTATTCTAGAGCCTTTCTTCCCAATGTGGACAAATTAAGAACGTAATTACGGCCCGCACGGTTGCAGAGTCCTGTTGAAAATGACCGTAATTACGCTCCTAACACATAACGATTTGACACATTTTACGTACGTGTCATACACTCACTCTTTCTGTTTGCAAGTGAACTTCGAGCGAGCCATCACAAACCCACTATTCACCTAGACTGGCAAGTATGCCTTTCTAAGGGCGAGACATTGAGCAGCGTTGTCAAGGGAGTTCAGCGGGCTTTTCTCTGACGATTGAGGACCCGTTGACCGAGAAGAATTTTCCACGAATTTCAAGAACTTTCCACTAATAAAATAATCGCACTGTATAACCGATAAGCAAGAGAGGCCTGAACATGTCTATACGCCGGATTGAAATTTGCTCGCCAATTTTCAGCACCACGTACGGTTTTTGTGATATGCAGAAAAGAAATATTCAGTATTTTGGTAATTTCTTTTTAGTAACCGTGTTTCGCAATGTGATAAACACAATAGTATACGACAAAATATTAATAGTACTGATAGAGTAGTTTAAAATGATCAGTGAAATATCAAACGTACTGAAGGAAATCTATTTTCACGTCAGTTTTGTTAAAAATGAACACTGTGTTGAAGTTTATGTAATAGGCAAGTGCTATCAGCCACTCATTAACAGTGTAATCAGCCACCGTGGAGACATCCCACCGGCCCTGCTACCTAATTTCCATCAGTTTTATATCCTGATAAAACCGTTATCCTCGTCGTTGTTCAAAGTTTTCCGGAAAGTATTCAAGATGGGAATGAAGAGAACTTCAAGCTCTTATTGCATCAGAGTCACTCGAAGTTTTCGAACATCGTTTTAACAATACGTTTGTATCGATCATCTTTATAATCGCTCACAAAATTACTGATAACTTCCCTGAATCCCTAAACATTCACTGAAAAGCTCCATAGATGACAGTCACTTTGATTAACAAGCCAGCATCCTTAATTATTTGGAGATCTATGAGCCGCCCAAAATGACTTTTTTTTTAACTTTTGTTTTTTTTAATAAAATTAAACATGCTTTAACAATGTATTGAAAACTAGTGGAGCTACTACATCACATACTTTCTAGTATTTACAACTGCTCCCCTATATTATACCACATAAACATGCAAAAGTGTTTATCAAGCAGCAAAAATTATTTTCCGAGCTTAGACTCGCCCTCAGGTCTTCCGTGTTGCTATTAGCCAGACCACTACGCTATAGAAACGCTGTGAGAGTCGAACTCGGGCCAACACTTAAAAATGTAATTGTCTCACCCCAATATTTCCAACAATTTTTTGGATTTACCCCTTTTTTTAAATACTGATTTGCGTCTTTCCTTCCCCCTTTTTTTCTTACCAAGTGCGCAAAAGTAAAAAAAAAAAAACAATTCTGTCCAAGACTAACAAATTACTACAATTATTTAACGTCAAAAATAGATAAAAATGTGTGACGTACTAAGCGGAGAAGTGCAATATGCACACAATTTTGCGAGCTCTGGGTCTCTGCTTTAACTTGTATACATACGAAGTTGGATTATAAATACAGGTAGCAACGGGGGGGGGGGTTGCAAAGAATTTGTGAGTAAATATTTGCTCCCATATAATAAAATCTATTCGCAAAGGCAAATCAACAAATGTCGCCATTACCCCTTAACATGCCTTCGTGACGGAATCGGCCTTCTGCCACAGGAACATGAACGATTATTTTAACTCTTATAATTCCCCACTGAGCTCGGGAAAACATCCAGTGACTCTGAAGCTACATTTGTCCAAAACATCGGCGTTTTCTCAAAGGATCAGGAAAACTGGACGAAATACCTGATCGAGATTGAGTTGGGGTGTCATTGATTCAAAAGCTAAGATACAATACATGTTACAGGCATATTTCGTCTTTTCCGACTATACAGTACCAATGGTAACTAATACATAAATATCACTGTTAATAGCAATATTACTTTACTTTTTGATACTCAGTATAGTTTCTAATTTAAGAGTATGATTTACGAAGCGGAAAATATTTTACTTGACACACACCTGTGTACTAATTTTAATCTTTTAATCTCATACGGAAATATGTAGAAAAACAACGCACATTGTATTGTATTTTGTAAGGAGCAGTTGATACTGACACCTAATGAATATCATAATTACGTCTGTGTAAAGTTATAAACATCCGCATTGCCTGACAATATGTGCCCACCCTTGAATGTCAGGTTTGACAAAAAGACCCTTTTTTAAACCGAGAAGCAAAGCAATGGTAGAATATCTTGGTAGAATAAGAGGAGCTTACAGGAATTACGTCGAAGGGATTTGTGTACTATTCGTATATTTTTTTTTGGGGGGGGGGGGGATCTAAGTCTGGGAGTTATACGATGTGGTTGTATTATGCCATATCTCAAGCGGGAATGAACATTCGCGCCTGAGTTTGTTTGTATCATTTGTAATAATTCTGAACGCGTAGGATAATGAACTTCAAATTTATTAAATTTTTGTCCTTGGCTTTACGTGTATGCTTTTAAGCCAAGCTGTAACGTCCCATTCACATAAGAAATATAATTAGGGAACTGATTTCAATGAAATGTCTTTATTTTTCACTTTAGAACAATGCCGTTTAGTATATTAATTTTGTTTGTTATGACAAAACAAAATGACTCATTTGAAGTCTTTTTTAATTCGTCGATTTCGGCTGTCTTTTTTTTTTTTGTACCTTTTTGCGTAATTTTAATACATTTTTAGCTGATTTAATTGATTTTAATATTATTTTCAGTGGCGTAACGTTTGGGCCCGCAATGTGGGCGGGCTTGGATCAAAGAGGGCCTATTTTTATCGGGTATTTTCATTATTTAAGGTTCTAACACTACTTGTGTTTGATCTACATTTTTATTAAGGGGGCCCGGATAAAAGGCTTGCGTGCGCGCACGCACGCTTTATTTTCGCTCTGAATAATTTTAATGGTACTTGCTTCAAACAATATTTACAAGGTGCAATAAATTTTCACCACAGAATTCCTG